CTTGAACTGTCATCTACACTAGAGTCTTCATTGTATCGTTTGATGGTACGATAAACGAATCTTTTGGTTATATTCAAATTTTTCAGTATGTCAAAAATTTGAATTAGCGCGTAACCGCAATGATGCAACGAAATAACTGCAACACGGTTTTTTTTAAGCGTCCACTCCATATTTAAAAATGAGTAAAATTCTAAAAACTATACAGTTTTATTTTCATGAATAATTTGAAATTCGAATTCAATAAACTTTTTTGTGGCCAGCATTCTAAAAGAAAAGTTTTTACTGTATGACAATACTTATGACCTGACTAGGTATCGCCAATTTGGTCGATAAACCTTCGTCTAGGGCGTACCTCCCCGACCCTGCAGTCTACTTCTGCAACATAAATTTAGTTTGTCACTCTTTCCTCGTTCATTCTTTCTACATGACCAAACCACCGAAGCATTCCTTTCTTAGTCCTTGTCACAACATCATCTTGCACACCACACTTTTCTCTTATCACACTATTTTTCACCCTGTCATTCAGATTCAGCCCTAGCATACTCCTTAAGGACCGCATTTCTACAGCATTTATTCTACTCTCATGCTTCTTCTGCCAGACCCAACTTTCACTACCATACATTAAAGTAGGGCCTAACACAGCATTATGAATATTGCCATACGTGCCTTATTTGACACATTCTGACTCCTCATAATAGCGTGTGGAGCCCCATTCACTCTATTTACTGCGTTCACTCGTCGTTCTATATCCTTATCATACCTACCATCCCTGCTAAACAAACGTACCAAATATACAAACTCATTCACTTGCTCAATCAACTCCCCTTCTATTCTTATTTGTCAAAACGTTTTACTTTCTTCTCTTTCAAAAACCATCACTTTCGTCTTACTTGCGCTCACTTTCAAACCCCTTTCTTTCAAGAGGGCAGTGGTAGATACAAGAGTTTACCGGGGGTCCAACGTAGGGACGGATCATTACTTGGTCTTATGCCGATTTATGGTCTATTCAAGCGTTGACGGCATCGGACATCTGTGTCTACCTCTGCATTAGAGCGTATAAGAATAGAAAGGCTACAAGATGTAGGTGTAAAAGAGAAGTATAAATGTAGACTGAGGGAAAATATAAATGGTTTGAATGAATTATGTATGAGTGATTTAGACTTGAAGACTGTATGGAATAATGTTAAGAAAGTTATGATGCATGCAGCCACCGAAGTATGTGGTGTAAGTAAGAGAACGAATGAAAGGAAAAGTAATACGTTGTGGTGGGATGATCCGTACCTCGGATGGAAGTTGAAGCAAAGAAGAGAGCTTGGCTAGATTTACTAACAACAATAGCTGGTAATTCTAGCGGTATGAATGATGAGATTGTAAGAAAAAAAGCAGACTTTAGACGTATAAATAACAGAGTAAAAGAAGTTGTTGAAAGGAAAAAGCAAGAAAGGATGGATAAGAATGATAGAAGAATATCTGATAACTTCCAGACAAATATTAAAATGTTCTGGAAACTCGTAAGAACTGCCAGGGGAAATTCAAAGCAGCCTAGAATGAATGCTATACGAGACGAGAATGGCTGCATGCTGAATGATGAAGTTTCAAATTTAAAGAGATGGAAGGAATAATTTGAAAGCGTGTTTAAGAGTGAAGAGTCGTCTGAAGTAAGTGAAATAAAAATTCCGGAAAAAGTGGAGAGAGGTAGAAAGATAAGTGTAGATGAAATAATGAAAGCAATGAAAAGTATGAAAGCAGGTAAGGCAGCCGGATATGATAGAATATCACTCGAAATGCTAAGGGCTGGAGAGGGTGTGGTTGCAGGCCTGCTGTGCACCTTGTTTCATTTATGTTGGGAACTGAAGTGGTTACCGGAAGACTGATGCAAAGCCGTTATAGTCCCAATATATAAGGGAAAGGGCTCGCAGCAGGACTGTAAAAACTATCGTGGTATCAGCTTGTTTAGCATTGTGGGTAAACTGTATGCTAAGGTGTTAATTGAAAGAGTTACGGAAGAAACTGATGGAAAAATTTGGGATTTGCAAGCTGGATTTAGAAAGGGGATGGGGTGTACGGATAAAGTCTTTTCCATGCGCATGATTGCGGAGAAGTTTTTGGCCAAAAACCAGAAAGTTTTTTGTGCGTTCATGGACTTGGAAAAGGCTTATGACAGAGTGGACAGGAATGTGTTATGGCAAACATTGAACTCATTTGGGTTGAGCGCTGGCTTGATACAGGCATTAAGGTCTCTTTATAGGGACTCTAGTGCTTGTGTCAGGATCAACGGGGTCTACTCGGACTGGTTTGACATTCATAAAGGTGTCAGACAGGGATGTGTGGCTTCCCCGTGGCTGTTTAACCTATTTACGGTCAGTTGTTTGCAAACTTTGAGAGTTGAAGAATGTGGGTTGAGAATGGGTGAGTTAACCGTCAAATGCCTTTTGTACGCCGATGATCAAGTCATATTTGCATCGTCGGCGCCCGAGTTGCAAATGATGGTTACTTTGGTGAACTGGTCCGTGAAAGAAAGGTTCTATAAATGCAATTAATTCGTATAGAAATATAAAAAAAATGTGTTATTTGACGAATTATACAAAAATGAGAGCGCAATCAATTAATGAGAGTAAATGAATAAGCAGTTTCAATTAGATATTTGTTGAGAAGCTGCTGTTGTAGCAACTCTAGCAATGTATTTCATTGCGTGTTATTACGGTAATTGCCGCCTAATACAAAGGAGTCGTAATAGGATCCATGATAATTATACAAGTTAAATATAGAATATAGCGCGTTAGCTTTCACCATCGGACGAAATTTAAAAGTGATTATCGATCTCCTCACGGACATCCTGTGTAAAAAAAATAAAAGAAATAAAATTGAATTGAAGAACTCACGGTCAGTCGATTTTTGTGTTGTACTCTTTTTTTGATTCGGCGAGAGTGAAACATCCGCTTGGCATCAATATGTAAAGAATAGTTCTTAGTCAACCAAGCTGCGTTTGAAATTTTAAATCATTATTAAATCAAAACAGCCAATAGCATGTATTTTGCACTAATAACCGTTATTGTAATAAGTATAATAATCATTATTGTAGCCCCTTGTGATTATCTAAGACTCAAGTTGAGCGCCAGTCATTTAACAACGACTCGTAGTCTTGAAATGTCTTCATAAAAACGCATGAGCATAAAAAAGCGAAAAGACGCGACTCGGAATTTGTTGTTTGAAGAAGTATTTATTGTGCTTAGCGAACAGGCATTTGCAAGATACCTCCACACAAGATTCAAAGTCTTTAGCATAATTTAATTCGTTAGCGATGTCTAAATATATAGATATTTAGACATCGCGGTGTTTTAGGCCGTAATAGTAGAAACCAGTACAGAAGAGAGGATGTGAGGCTTCCTCAGTTTCAGGGCACTCCCCTTGTTGCCTCAGCTAGTATGGGAATCCTCGGCGTCGACATGTTGAACGATATGCAGTTTCGTGGTCACTTGGAAGAGAAGGCCAAATTGGCCTCTAAAAGCGTGTCGTGCTGAGCAGAGCGGGACAGTATTTCATGCCGGCACACCGCCTGCAACTTTACAAGGCGCAATTTCGGCCGCACATCGAATATTGTTTCCATCTCTGGACCGTGGCTCCCAGGGCCAGCTCCTTCAATTTGATCGCATCCAGGATAGAGCGGTTCGAATCTTCGGTGAATGAGCTATATCTGATCGGCTTGATCCACTAGCGCTGCGAAGAGATGTTGCATCGCCTTGCGTATTCTATTGTATCACGAGGAGTGCTCAGAGGAATTGTTCGGACTAATTCCAGCCGCTCAATTTCACCATCGCACATTGCGACTTAACTCGAGCCATCTGGATGATTGGCGGTCCACTACTGTGCGATTTAGAAGAAGTTTTCTTCCTCGCTTAACTTCCTTGTGGAATCGTATACCACCAGCAATTTTTCCGGACCGATACGACTTAGGGACCTTCAAGAAAACAGTTTACTCTTTGCATAGGCAACGCATCTGCGACTCCCCTGGTATTGCATTTGTTCATGGGCGGAGGTAGTTACTTACCATCGGGTGAGCCGTATGCTCGTTTGTCCCCTCTCAATATAAAAAAAGAATTTCAATTGAGAGCCTTGAGCTTAGCGCAAAATGTGCCAAGATGAAGTCTTATTTGAACTGGCCGAATTTATAGCAACATTCTAAATACGCACAATTATGTTCATCTCTAAGATTACAGAAGTATTTTATTCTAGATAATGCCATCGGCTTGATCATGAGCTATGCTAAAAAGGATAGCGAAGAACAGTGAAATGGGTAGGTACCAAACCAGGAGATTATTTACAGGAATTGTTTATAGTATTTGATTTTTAGTAGCTAATACTCGTAACTAGATTCTTAGTCGAAACTGGTAAGAATCAGCCCTGGTTTTCCGAAGCAAATCTGTTCGTTAGTGAGTCCAATCTGTTTTTCAAAATTTCTAAATCTACGGTGAAAGTCTCATATCAGTATTTTTTAAGTATCGTAAAATATTCAGACAGTTATTTAGTGTATTTATAAATATAATAAGTATTTAATTTGGGAATTTTAAGAATCCGATTGTAGCATCCACCATATATTGCAGAACTTACAGTATTGTAACTAAAATATTCAGACAGTTATTGAGTTAAATAAGTATTTAATTTGGGGATTTTAAGAATCCGATTGTAGCACCCACCATATGTTGTAGAATTTACAGTATCATAATATTGAAGACGAATCTAATGACATCTCTCACTTCAAAATCGTCAAGTCGCTAAGCTTACAACGTAGTTAAGTGAATAACACTTTAGTTAGGCTATAGTGGTCTAGAGGAGGTTGTGAGGCACACAAGTAAAGGCAATACACAGTTAAGGGCAATCATTTTAGAAACTTGACCTACTTATACAATCTTTTTGACTGAATAAACATTAAAAACGAAAGTGTCAAATTAATTATACAGATAATACCAAAACTATGTAAATAAGTACAGTGAAAAATAAATATGCAAGGAATATTTACCAACTCCTTATGGTATATTGAGTTTTTAGTGTTTGTAATAGTGCTTATTGGATTTTTTAAACTATTCCTGTACTTGGCTAGTACGAATTACGGTTACTATTACGCACAACACGATATGAGGCTAAAGTGAGTTTGTTCTCTAACGTTCTTTAACTTGAACATATTTTACGTTGTACGATAAAATGTTTAAATTTGTCACTTTAAAGTACAAACCATTTAATAGTCTACCACATAGTAAGTGACTAAAGAAAGAGTTTCTGTGAAGAAAGAAAGATAAGAAAACTATGATTACACAGATTAAATTCTAACGTAGATCGCCGCGCTAATACGGTGTCCACTTTGATTTTTTATTGAATTAGGTACTTAATTTTTGAAACGTATAGAAATGGTGAGCCTAACACTTGAATACGTGAAAAATCTACTACACTAGTGAGTCTCTTTATGTATACAGAAAATTGTCCAAATCTTTTCGGAAAGGAGAGGAGGCCTGTCCCAAACAGTGGAACATGTACCTAAATGGTACGGCATTTAGGTACCTATTACCTACATGGTAGAGCATACTGGCTACTGTGTTTCGTATGGTGAGTGTAAATACCTGGAGACCCTTTTTACTGGTATCGCGGTATTCCATCTTAGTCATCAGGGATGAGAAAGTATCTGCATTTTGATTCTTAATCCATGATAGATGTCTATGGGCCACAAAATCAACTTATCGTCAGGTGAACAATAACTATATATGCTCGTTTGTCACGTATGTCAAAAAATTTACTTAAGTTTACTTATTAAATTAAAAAGAAATGAAACTAATTTGTATAAACTATTTAAAAATAGTACGTAATGTTGATAAGAATTTTTACAAATAATAGGATAGCATGTTAATTTAAGAAAATGATATATAATCCACACAAGTTTACCTCGCGCAAAACCAGATAACCCATGTCCAAATTCTTTTTACCGAAAAAGCTTACTTTGCACAGTGTTTACATATAATTTTCAACCATGCCCAATGTTATTTAAAAGTTCATTTTTTTTAAATAATCCGACTACCTTTCATCATCATCATCATCATTACAGCCTTTCATAAGTCCACTGCTGAACATAGGCCTTCCCCAAGGAATGCCACAAAGCACGGTCCTGAGCCACCTGCATCCATCGACTTCCTGCATGCCTTACCAGGTCGTCACTTCATCTAGTGGGGGGTCACCCTACACTTCGCCTACCGGTACGAGGCTGCCACTCGAGAACCTTTCTTCCCCATCGGTTGTCGATTCTTCAAGCTATATGGCCGGCCCACTGCCACTTCAGCTTACTAATCCGTTGGGCTATGTCGGTTACTCTGGTTCTACTGTGGATATCCTCATTTCTAAGTTTATCACGCAGAGAAATCCCGAGCATAGCCCTCTCCATAGCTCGCTGAGCGACCTTGAGCTTCCTCATACGGCCAACAGTGAAGGACCACGTCTCAGATCCGTAAGTCATCACTGGCAACACGCACTGGTTGTACAATTTCGTTTTGAGGCTTTGAGGTATGTCTAACGAGAAGATGTGTCGTAGTTTCCCGAACGCTGCCCAGCCGAGTTGAATCCGTCGATTGACCTCTCGGTCGAAGTTGGACTTACCTAGTCAGACTATTTGTCCCAGATAAACATACTCGTCAACAACTTCGAGCTTAGTGCTCCCAACAACTGCCGGCATAGGTGTAACATGGACGTTAAACATGATTTTTGTTTTGTCCATGTTCATCTTAAGACCTATCCGTTGGGAGACATTATTGAGGTCATTGAGCATAGTGCTTAGGTCCTCCAGCGACTCTGCCATAAGAACTATATCATCGGTAAATTGAAGGTGAGTGATGTACACGCCATTGATGTTAATACCGCATCCTTTCCAGTCCAGAAGCTTGAAAACGTGTTCCAATGCAGGGGTGAAGAGTTTCGGGGATATAACGTCACCTCTCTGCAATTGGATACGTTTTGTACTCTGATTCTGTACTCGAATAGCCATCGTAGCTCTACTGTACAAACACTTCAGCACTTCGATATACCGACAGTCAACTTGGCACCGCTGAAGGGACTGCAGCACCGCCCAAATTTCGACGGAATCAAAGGCTTTCTCATAGTCCACATACGCCAGACATAGACAAATTGTACTCCTCGGACTTCTGTACAATTTGCCGAAGGGTATGTATGTGGTCTATGGTGCTAAGCCCTTTTGGAAACTGGCTTGTTCGGAAGACTGGAAGTCGTCAAGTCTGCGCGCGAGACGATTCGTAATGACTCTCGAAAACAGCACGTAGATGCGGCTCAGAAGGGAAATCGGTCTGTAGTTCTTCAAGAGAGCGTTGTCACCTTTCTTGAAGACCAAGACCACCGCACTTCTGCTCCACCCCTCCGGAGTATTGCCACCATGGAGGACGGAATTAAAGAGCTTCTGAAGGACTTCAAGTAACGGTTTTCCACCTGCTTTCATAAGCTCCCGCTGTAAGTCCATCCTTGCCCGAGGATTTTCCGTTTTTATGGTGCTGGAGAGCAATTCAAATCTCGCTCAGACTGGCGTCCGGGATATCTTCGGAATAGTGTCGGATAAGACTCGCTCTTGGATCGTTACTCACACTTGCGTGTGGCTCTAACGATGACGTGTACAGCAGCCCATAGAACTTCTCAATCTCACTCAAAATCTCAGGTGTCCCGGAAACGGTCACACTCGGTCTTCAGCTTTGACAGTTGGCTCTTTCTGGCAGACAGATCTCCGGCAAAAAGTTTGGAGCCTTGGTTCCGCTCGATCGCTTCTTCAATACAAGCTATATTGAAGTTGCGTAAGTCCCGCCGCATGCATTTAGAGATCTGTCTGTTCAGTTGCCTGTATGCTGTCAAATCTGTTGAAGAATGTAGCTTCATCTCCCGTCTAACAGCCATGAGATTAAGAGTGTGATCGGAGAGTTTTTGTGTTATTCTGCGGCGGGTCTTGCAATACTTAGCTCCGACCGCATGGACAGTTTCCACAAGCTTGTCATTCATATCGTCCTTTTCGTATCGTCTTCTAGGCACTGAAAACGGGTTTGTAACTCGAGCTGAAAGGTTTCGGGACTTTGGAACAGAGCACGAGGGGGACGGAGCGTTGACTTCAGTCGATACAGACAACACCTCTCCAACTTAACCTTTAGGTTCAGTGTGCCTCTAACCATTCGGTGATCGCTACCAGTTTTTACCCTTGCGATCACGGAGACGTCACTGAACAGTTGTCGTTTGGTCGTCATAATGAAGTCAATCTCATTTTTGTGGAACCGTTGGGGCTCGATCAGGTCCACTTCCTGTGAGGCCGCTTCTGGAAGAAAGAGTTCATCATAAAGAGTCCCTCATTCTCCATGAAGTCGGCCAGCTGCTGGCCCCTTGGGTTCCGTTGCCCTATTGCAAATTTCCCTACTTTCAGCTCACCGTTCTCTCTTGTGCCTAGTTTTGCACTGAAGTCTCCCATTAACATCGTATAGTGGGTTTTGGAGGAATGCATGGCTCTAGAGATATCCTCATACATTTCCTCACCTTCTCATCGGGATGTGCCGAGGTTGGTGCGTAAACCTGTATGACATTCAGCAAATACCGTTTGTTGATTCTGAGAATAAGGTACGCCCTCGTCGACAAACTCAATCTTTACAACGTTGTTAACGAGACACTTGTGGACGATAAATCCGACACCTCCTTGGGACAGATGGTCGCCCTCCCGGTGATAGAGCAAGTTGCCGGATTCGAGGATTACCGTGTCCTCCCTCTCTCTTCGGACCTCGGATAATCCTATAATATGCCAGCGTAACTTGTCTATCTCTTCTTCCAGCTCCACGATCTTCTCGTCAGTCCTCAGAGTACGTGCGTTGTATGTTGCCAGGTCGAGTCGTCTTAGGTGGCAACCGAACTTCAACCGGAGATTCTTAGCACCCCCCGCCGTTACCATGGTCGCCACCGTAGCCAAGAATGCGGGGCCGCCGGGGACTGGGGGCCGTCTTTTTGTAACTTTTGTCATAGTATTTGCCATAGTTGCCACGCTTGGCGAGCGGGTTGGCAACCGTAGTTTTTTTATTGTAATTTTGCTGTTATCAGGAAGATGCTGCTGCCCATCTCCTGCCTGTTTCCCTTTGTCGCCTTTTACGCCACCCACGGGACACGATTACTATTAGCAGTATTTTATTTATACAAGGGATTCTTTTCTGTCACCCTCTCACCTATTTCTGCCACAAATTATTCATATTATATTTCTCAAGTAAAAGAGTTCTATACAATCGTGCTGGCGCCAGACTGGTGGCGTCAGAGTACTTAATTCACTTCCTTATATCGCCCCGTGAGTTTGTAAACCCGCCTGCCATGTGTGGCTACTATTGCCTATAATGCTGCAGCGTAGCTGTACCACGAATATAACAAAAAGAATGCAGGGTAAATTGCGCTGATATCTTCTCCCCCGGTAAACCTCAGCGTCCTAAAACGCACATTACATTGATTGTTCAAATTCAATGTCCGCGGTTCCTTGTTAATGTTAAACTAACCGGTATGTTGTCGTTCACTAGAAATCCCTATGTCCAGACTAGAGACAATGTTGACTTAATGTGATGTTGTTTTGTTACTTTCTGAATTTACTAGATACATGGCTGATGGTACATGGTTACTTCAAAGCTAAAAAGCAATGAAAAAAGCCGAGGTGACAGGAAAAATAATCGTGTGAGTAAAATGTTTCATAATCCTTCTCTCGTTCTTGTGTTTTTAAAATCGTTAACATTGAAATGTAATGAAAGCGAAGACTACCGTTACAGCCTATTAAAGTCTACTGCTGGACACAGGCCACCCCCATCAATTGTCTCATAGGGACGATATTTGCCATAGTTGCCACGCTTGGCAAGTGAATTGACAACCGCAGTTTTTTATTTTTAGTCGTTATTAGGAAGACGCTGCTGCCAACTCCTGATTTGTTTTCTTCTGACGCCTCTTACGACACCCATGGGATGATCCATGGATATTCTTACACTACCACTACATGGTAAAAATCTAGCCCAAAGAATGGTTATGTACCATCCACCTACTTCTACTGAGATGTTAGTTTTAGGCCTTATTGTGGTTACGTTTGCTCCTTTCTCCGACATGAGTCCACTGAGTTACAAAATAAAGAAACTTACTTAATTATATAATATTAGGCTGGATCGCGTTCCATCTTAGTCCTCGGAGCTGACAACGCATCTATAGTCTACTTTTTTGATTTTAGCCATAGGTGTCATTGAACTTCAGCAGTCACTTACCATCAGGTGGATTGTAAGTTCGTTTGTCACTTGTTTTATAAAAAAAAAATCTTGACACTGGTTTACGTGGTAGATGCATTCTGCAACTATATTAGTAGTTATAGTTGTAGCACGAATGGGTTGGCTCGACCAGCGAAGGATCACGCTCTCACAGAATACCAGCGTAAAATAGCAGCTTAACACTGCTGTGTTTCGTATGGTGAGTGTAGAGAACCGGAGACCCTTTTTACTGGTAAGAGGCATTCCATCTTAGTCCTCACGGTGGGACAACGCATGTGCATTTTTTTTTCTTTTAAAAAACGTTACCCCCACACTAGGATTTTCTCCTGTATCGTAGAGGCAGTTTACAAACATATATTGCACGAGGACAAACATCCAGACCCGGAACAATTATTAGTAGGCCAGCGCAACAACTAATTGTTAAGCCACTGCGCCACGGAGCCGTCAATTTTGATGCTTAATCGAGGAAAGAAGTAAATGTCTATGAGCCACAACAACCTATTACCATCAGGTGGACTGTGTGCTCGTTTGTCACTCCTATCTTATTAAAAAAAAACTGTGTGATGAGCGTACATCGGGGTAGGATATTCGTCAGGTATGATACACTATCTCTTATATTTCCGTATTATATTGGTGTAATAATATGTCGAAAGCGCCGCTACGCCGCACACGTCTCTAAACGGTCTTTACTCAAGCCTTTGTATAGACAGTAAATAACGAGCGTGCTGTACATTAAAAAAGAAGTATTACATATGCAACAAATATTACAATGTCCCAAGTATCAGCCGTAACAGTGAGAGCCGTGGTAGCTCAGGGCCTAAGCACTCGCTGTAAATTTCACAGTACGCGAGCAACCCGGGTTCGATCCCGTCCGGCACCAAAGTAATCGTTAACTGCAACTGCTCAGTGGTGAAAGAAAACATCGCGAGTAAACTGCATCTGTGGGAAATAAGAAAAAAAATATTTTGAAGACATATTAAGTTTGCTAACACGCATTGGGGCAGCGCGGCGGACATTTCCTTGCCCTAAAACCCTCTCAGAAATGAGAGGAGGCCTGTGCCTGCCATGGACGTGAACGTATATAGGCTGTAACTTTAAGTATCACAGTCGTTCCGCCAAATGATCTCTACTCAGACGTTATACCTTAATAGGTACTAAATATAGACTAATAATAGCGCATACTTTAATTTAGCGCTGTCATAATCATATGCTTAGAGCAGTTAATAACTTCCGCCATCGTCCGGAAGCTTAGGGCGTAGTCGAAAGTTACGGCGTGAACATGTGAAACTTTAGTTCCACATTAATTTGTTTTTACATCCTTTTTATTAAAGTAATTTTTAAAAGAAATTTTACAAATAAATTTCAGTAACGAAAGACGGTACATCTTTTACGTTAAGCATAGAAAATGTTGCTCTGCTCTGTTATCGTCACTTCTGACCTTCCCCGGTCGACCTGACCGATGCGTGCTGCACCGTAACTCTGCCAAGCTATCTGGAGTCGGAGAAATAAAAACGTCCATTATTGTTTCAGATATCCACATGTTGCTACCAAAAAATGCAAACCTAAAATTAAAGAGCCAAATCAAAGACCTGTGTGTTTTGATCTAGGGTGCATTTGGTTCTGTAGATTGATAGCCAGTATCATCACAATAGCTGTATGCTACTACTGTGCTTACACACTAATATCAGATACTAAGCTGAAGTTCGGACTATTCGTACCATAGATACATAAAAATGAACATGAATAAAAATAAAAGAAACAATTGAATACTGTTGTTGTAAATTAATTTTTGTTGTAAATTTTAAATACTAAACAAAATTGATCATGTAATATTCTAAACTACCCCTTAATATCATACCGTGGGATATCGTAAAAGCCGCCTATGAGAAGTGCCATTAGACATTACGCTATCTAAGTAACTAAAATAAACAAATATATCTGTCTCAACATTGGTGAGACTTCTAACCTCTCTTATTTATACAATAAAGGTGACAAACGAGCACACAGTCCACCTGATGGTATGTGGATGCTGCGGCCCATAGACATCTAAATTTATCCTCAATTAAGAATCAAAACGAAGATGCATTGTCTCTCCCGAGGACTACGATGGTATGTCTCGTTCAAAAGCTCCAGTAAAGAGGGTCTCCGGTTCTCTACGCTCACCATAAAAAACACAGCAGCATTAAGCTGCTATTTTATGCTGGTATTTCGTTCGAGTCGACCCATTTTTTTGCGCCCAATGCAAGGCTACCCTCCGGAAGCGGGGGAGGGAGGTGGCGAATGGTCATAGCATACCACGCAAAAGGCTGCGTGGTTATGTGGGACTCACTAAGAAATGCCTACCCACTAAACACCACCTGTGGGACTGGCTTTGGCCTGTTTGACCTCTTCGCCGCATCGGAAGCGACCCCCCTTAGGGAAGGGGGTGCGGGGCACAACCGTACGGGGACGGGAGCGCGGATCAACTAACATAACACACCCGCAGATGGGCGGTGGCGCCAGAGGAGTGAAGATGTGGGAGTCGCATGAGCTTGAATGCACTCTCCGTACGGAGACGGTGAGCGCGGACAGCTAACATCACCGCACGGGAGCAGCGGCGCTAGCTGAAATGGGAGGGCACTCACCGTATGGGGACAGTGAGCGTGGTCAGCTAATACAACCGCACGGGGGCGGCGGCGCTAGCTGAGGCGGGACGGGACGGGACGTGCAAAGATGAGAAATTCAGGGAATACTTATATACTGTAATGAGAAAAACAAATAATTGTATACGGTCAGTGAATTGTACGTATGTGTTTTATTTAAAATTTTCCTAATTTCACAGTACAAATTCTGTTCCTAAGACTACGTTACAATCTATTAAAATTAAAATCTATTAAAATATTGTCGTCATCGCTGCTCCAGATAAAGTTGGAGCTCATTTTGTTTATCGTCACCGGTCACCATCAAAGAGTATAATATAATCACGACGTTTTAGTCAACAATATCGAAATAAGTGGTAAAATTAAAAATGTTGTACAACCGACTTGAATATAAATTATTAAGGATAACTCAAAAACTATAAGTCAAACCTTGATCAAATTTATATGGGACCAAATGAGAAGCACCAGCTTTCAAATAAAAAAAGAATCATTGATATCGGTTCACCTAGAAAAAAATTATGAGGTAACACACATATAATAAAATAATATACAGTCGAATTGAGTACCTCCTCCTTTTTGAAGTCGGTAGAAAACATTAGTGAATTATCCGGCACCGTCATGCGAATGGCGGTAACAGTTTTTGACGTTACATTGTCCAATACCGCTTTCTAGAAAACCCTCAGAGTAATTACTGTGTGTGTAATTACTCTAAGAGAAAACTGTGCTATCTTGTTTACTTAAACAACGTTATGGTGTCGTCATTCACCGCTTTATTACGGCCGTCATATAGTGATCCAATCTTAGGAAACCAGAACTTAATAAACGAATTATTTACGGTTTAGTCGCGGCCTAAGAGAGTCCGCTATCGTATCCGTGTCGTAAGAGGTGACAGAGGGAAACTGAAGTAGATAGTCAGCAGCATCACCACATTAAAAGCTCAAAGTAGGAAATAGCTTCAAATCCCAACCCTCCTGCCAAGTTTGCCAACTCTGGCAAATACTATGCCTTCTATGAAGTAATCTATAGGGGAGGCCTATGTTTAGCGGTGTCTGTGGAGGGGAATTCATGTTTATCCATGCACCCACTATATACACATTATGCCAATCGAGCACACAGCCTACCTGATGGTAAGTGGATACTGTGGCTTATAGACATCTAAATTTATCTTTGATTACGAATCCAAATGCAGGTGCGTTGTCACACCTAAGACTCTAGGTTGAAATGCCTCGTTTCCAGTAAAGAGGTTCTCCGGTTCTCTATGCTCACCATATGAAACACAGCAACATTAAGCTGCTTTTACGATGGTATTATGTGAGAGCGTGGTCCTTCTCCGGTCGAGCCGGCCTATTTCTTGCTAGATCTATAATATATCTGCAGCATTGTTCTACCACGTTAAAATAATATTGTATAAATGTCCGCCGTTTTGGGGTGGTCGTTGAGTGACCCCAGCCGTAACTCAGCTTATTGCCGCTGTGCTTTTAAACCGACTTCAAAAAGGACAAGGTTCTCAATTCCACTGTATATTTTGTGTATTTGAAAGCTGGTGCTTCTCATGTGATCCTATATAAATTTTACCAAGGTTTGCCCAATAGTTTCTGGGTTATTGCTTAATAATTTATATTTGTGTATTTTTGACACAGGGGGTACTCGGGTGAACAGGTATTACCCCTGTACCCACCTATGGGTGCACGGGTTTTAGCTTAAATAAGCTACCGTCAAAAAATTCGGATACAAAAATTTATTTCTTGAAGTTGAAAGAAGTTGGTTTTTTTTTGTGAAAATGGAAATAACCAGTTGAAATTAATGCTGCAAAATGAAAGTGAGTTCTTAATAGACAGGTGCCAAAGTTGCCAAACAAAATTATTATCGGATTATCTCTTAGTCTTTGCTCGTTGTAGTATTAGATCGTGACTGGCATTTCCATTCATTAATACAGATTTGCTCGTGTATTATATACGCATCGATTCATTGCTAAAAAGTCGCGACTTTTTAGTTTTGTTTTTATTGCTACTAATGGTAGAGTACTGTAGCTGAATCTCAGTTAATGAGAAAAAAATGTAACTGATGCGTAGAATAATCATCGAGCATGTTTTATTAATTTACGTTCAGTAATTTTTTAATCTTTCTCGACTAATTATGTTAATAATGATACTGCAAAAAACGTTCTTCAGACGTTCTTGTGTGAAGTAGACTGTATCAGCACACGTAAAACCGTAGATTAAATAGATTTTAATCATAAATGGAAACTAACTTAAGTTAATGTACTTAAGGGAAAAAATAATAAGAAATATTGGAAGCAGCTCAGCAAATTTTGGAAGGTAATTTTTTTTATTCTACTTAAAGACAAACATCACCATCATTACAGCCTATCAAAAGTCCACTGCTGAAGGCCTTCTCCTTAAATTACCTCCTAGAGATGACACTTGATCATAGATGTTACACTTGGCAGGCTTTTTAGCAATCCCAAAATTTCATTATTTTGAGCTTTTAACAGAAAAATTCTATTATATATAATCTCTTGCTTCAGTTTCCTTTTGTCATCTTTTACGGCACCCACGGGATGACACGAAGTAGTGGATTATTTAACTCGTTTATTTGTATTCTAATTAAACGGATCTTAATTTTTTTTTGTATTAGTGTTATAGTAATTAAGGGAATTAAAACAAAATATATTAATCATAATAGTATCTAGTTGCGGGAGTAACAGCTAAAATGATTCTTATTATTTATTTCTTAAACAATATTTGTAACATCGAAATGAAACTACTTTTCACGAACTTTATCGCCTATATTAACTTATCTAATATAAATATAAAAATAAATTTTTGTATGGTCGTATTTTATGCGTTGCCATACCGTTCATCAGATTGCGCTAGAACTTTGTCAACTTATTGCTTCCGCTTTTGTGCTGGTTATAGGCACAGTACAATTAACTTACAATAGGTGGCGCGCGTATCGCATCATCAAATTTATTTGAAAGTTATACATCATTCAACTTCAATGAATGTACTATCATTCCTAATTAAATAATATAACTCTTCCAAATTTAAAACGATATTTCGACAATTATTTTTCTGTGGTCAACGCGCCGTGTACCTACAGCTAGTTTAACGTAAGAAATATTTCTAAGAATGTTTTTCCAATAGTGCACATAGTGACAAGTATAATTTGCTGGACAAGCGAGTTAGTTTGGCGAGCGGCAAGGAAAGCTCCATTATCCTCGCATTGGTGGTTCTATTCCTTATCATAAGACTGTCGGTTATGGCGTCGGGTCTCTAAAATGGCTATACCACCATTTTTGTTTTGGTTGCTCGAGCCTTAAGACAATCCATACAGTACAAGTGAGGGTGAGTTGGATTGTAAATGGATCAATGCCAGATCAATGTGTATTGGCAATGTTTTACCAAGGTAATATAATTCAAATATTATAGAACAAGTTAATTTTACACACAACAACGTTTTTATTTGATACAGCGTGCTTCAATCGCTTGCAAGGAGCAGCCTGTGCGGTCGGTTACCATCGTACGGTATTTTGTTCATTGTGCTGGTATCGACATAAGTATTATTGCCTGTGGTCTGTTACTATGAGATGTAATTTGAGTTAAGTTTTTTTTTAAATATTTTTAAAGTAAAGTTATCAATAATAGACTATATATATCTAACATTTTTAGATTAAACAATAAAACTTGACGTGGTTACTAGGAAAAAGAAAATGTTGGGGGATTCAATTTTTAAGATTTGCTAAAAGCGACCGAGCCAGTGAATATATCGACCAGTGTACCTACCACGAACAAGCATCATCGAAGCGTGAGCATAAGGTTCCTCTAGGATTAAGTAGTTCACTACATCACTTGGTAAAAGACAAATAAATGATGTGGGATGAAAATGTATGTATATAAGATTATGAAATTGGGAAGATGAGGATGTTTACGATTATTTCCCACCTTAAACTATATACTGACTGATGAAAACAGCAAAAAGAGAAAAAGAAAGCTGGATAAATAGAGTTTTTGAATGCAAATCGGTTAAAAGTAGTTTGGATTAAGACTGTCAGTTGAAATCACTTTTTGGCACTTTTTTTTAC